GTGGCAGATTTTTGTATCCATTAGAGGTAAGTTCACAGGGTTGCCAATTTTTTGTTCGTTTCCGAGATATAAAGGAAAATGTAAACACAACTGAAAACCGTATGAAGATAACAATGACGCCATTTTGTAGAGAAGAAAGACTCTTGAATCTTTTGTATGAACACTTTTTTCTAAAGTTGAAAGATTTTGAAATATACATTAAATAAGCTTTATTTTTTTTTACATTTTCCTTTATATCTCGGAAACGAACAAAAATTTGGCAACCCTGTGTACTTACCTTCAATGGATACTGAAATCTGCCAATTTTATCTAATTTAACCGACCTCGTCCCTCTTACCGGTTCGGAGATAGCAATAGTGGCAATAACACTTAAAGGGAACACCCTGTGTAAGGAAAAATTTAAAAAAATATATATTTACATAAAAGATGGGCCCCAGGAAAATATTTGCGGGGGGGGGGGCCCGGATTTGAAGTTACGCCACTGTTCTGAATATTATTTAACTATGCTCAACTACATTTAACTTTCCCAATCACATTTGACTATTCTCAATTACAATTGACGCTTTCTGAATTTCAATTGGAAATAAAGGTGGAGACTTTTCATAAATGAAACACTTTAAAATTCATGCTTGTGGTTGTCAGCAGGCAGCGGGAATGAGAGGGGGAGCCACACAACTTCTGCCAAACAAACCGCGCTTTGTTGTGTTTAAAAGGCTCTAGTTCAGTGGTTCCCAAACTGGGGGGCGTGAAGCAACATTGAGGGGGGCGTAAGTCTTCTAAACGATTAATACAAATTTTAAGCTTTAAAATAAAAAATTAGTTAAAATTTTAAAAAAGATGTCTAAACTCTGTCTATCCAAAGTTGAACGTTGAAGGTCACTTACTCATTCTTGTAACCATAGGATTCACACGTTCGGGCCTATTTTGGTTTGATAAACACAAACACAGTGCGCGTGCAATAAAGACAGCAGCAAAAAGCACCGTCTGTGATATATTCGAGTAAGTGACCTTCAACGTTCAACTTTTGTTAGACAGAGTTTACAATCCTGCAACAGCGTATACATAAGCCAAAGCAGCTTTGTCATGCGATCTGTTACTATGTATTCCTTTTACCCGTTGAGTTACTCGGAGCTGCTTCATGTCAAAAGCGTGAACGTTCCTTTTAAAAGTGCGTGAAAGCACTCGAGTCGCTCATAGTGCATCCCCCTTTCCCCTGATGCACCAAATTTGCGTGGGGTGCAAGAAGCTTTTTTAGGTGATGTTAATATTAAAGTATAATGATAATATCTGAATTAATTATGAATTATGTGTTTTGGAGTGACTCCGAGGAGCTCTAGAGCGATACGTTCGGTGTAACTCGATGTATGAAAGGAATACAGTAATTGCTACAGCGCACGCTCGCTGCCCACTGTCATTCCCATTCTTCCTCTTCCAAAGTCCAGTTCAGACGAGTTACAATAAGTTAAAAAAAAAATGTTTTTGTATAATGGGGGAAGGGGGAAGGTAGGGGGGCGCGACCACTTCTTGATTTCAGAAAGGGGGCGCAAAAGAAAAAAGTTTGGGAACCACTGCTCTAGTTAGTTTATAATTGAAAATAGAATTTGCCAGTTTTTGAGCAAAAAATTAATTGAATACTCCAATATATAAAGGAGTTATCGCAGGTTAAAGCAAACATATATTTTACTTATTCGCGCCGTACCTACGAAATAACTGATTTTTTTAGATCTACTTTGATATTTCTCTAACAATATACAGGGTGTCGACTTAGTGCGATATCGTACGATATCTCCTTACAGGGTGATGCAAGAAAAAAAAATTAAAATACAAAGTTGTTTGACACTCTAATATGCATTAGTTAAAAATATTTTTGAATATACAGGGTACTCCGTTTATAGGGTATGCGACAGAACTTTGTTATTTCAAATGGAACACCCTGTATGTGATTGCATATTCGGATTCTACGTAAAATTCTGAGCAGATTTCATGTGATATACCCTATACCTAAGTTCAAGTGTTTTGGAAATTTTGACAGTTGAAAATTGACTTTTTGCCACTTTGACAGGCTGTAAAACCTAGACGGTTAATTTCAGACGAAAACCGATTTCACATTCCTATCTTAGATTTTCATAAACCATCATTTGACACCAACTTTGAAATTAACCGGAAATTAAATTTAACTGGAATTTTTTTTCGTGGATTAAATTCTAAATTAGTGTCAAATGATAGTTTATAAAAATCCAAGATCGGAATGTAAAATCGGTTTTTGTCTAAAATTAACCGTTCAGGTTTCACAGCCTGTCAAAGTTGCAAAAAGTCAATTTTCAACTGTCAATATATCCAGTGGCGTAGCCAAACCAAGCGTGGCTGTCGGCGACATCCGAATTGCGAGGCCCTTTTTATGTAGGCTGGCAGTGGCGAATCCACGAGGGGGAGGGGTAATGGGGGGGGGGGGGGGGGGGGGTAATTTACCACCCCAGAGAGGCCAAGAAAATTTTAAGTATTGAAAAAACACACAAATTATTTTTTTGGAGGCTTAAAATACGTTTTGAGCATGGTAGCCGAAAAAAATATCTCCTCCGGCCGCAACTGCGATGGGCATCACCTACTGGGTCCTACTTTGGGTGTGAATCCCTTCAGGTATAGACCACGAGCCGCCACTGGTTGAGAAGCTCTACCCCCCCAGAATGGTACTATAAATCCGCCACTGTATAGGTTGCAGAGCTATGGGATCGTTACTTGAAAAAAGTAACGCGTTACGTTCCAGTTACTTTTGCTTAAAAATAACTCGTTACTTAAAATTTACAGTTACTTTCGAATAATGATAACTTTATTTTCGTTACTTATTGGAAAGTAACGCGTTACTGTAACTTCTTTACTTTGAAAGTAACTTCTTTACTTTAAAAGTAGTTCGTTACTTTTAAAGTAACGCGTTACTTCAAAAATTACTATTTACGTCGAAAATTGCGTTATTCCTTAATTTGACTCACCAACACAGCAGTCCAAACAATCAAATAAGACCTATACGAAATGCCAATATGTTTTTAGTTTGTGAGTCCGACTATGTGGAAGAGTATTCTTGCAAAATTCAAACGGATTAAGGATTAAGCGACTGAATAAGAGCACTTGGTTTTGGACAAACCTGCTCTTTGAAGCGTCCCAGTGTTTGCATATAGTCTCTTTAGAGCAGAGGCGGCGCGTGGCACGCCCAAAAACGATTATTTTGAGCTTTCAAAACAAATTTTCTGTACTACCAATATTTTATTTGACATACTAAGTTTTTGGATTACTTATTTTCCTTTTCCTCACTCGTCAATTATTTGTAAAGAAGATAAACAAATTGAGAGAACTAGTTACTTTCGTAACTAGTAACGCGTTACTTCCAGCGTTACTTCAGGAAAGTTACCAAGTAACGCGTTACTTTCAGTAACTCGTTAAAGTAAAGTAACTTTTTTTTGTCGTTACTCCCAGCTCTGAGGTTGGTCATATTTCTTGTGAAAAAGCTGGATATAACGTCAGGGACGGGTAGCCGCCGGCAAACCCGCCGAAGGGTAACCACCGAAGACGAGAATTTTTTGAGAGTCACGCCACTTTTTCGGGCCTATCAACGGCATTCGATAACAATATTTAGTCAAAAATATCAATATTATTCCGCTAACAAATCCTTCAAACAAAAAATTAATTTCTCATTTATTACAGTATTACACCACAAGCATGGACCGACAATTTTTGGTAGAAATCTAGAAATCAGGCAATTTTTTAGGAAACCTATAGTTATTTACATTCCAAGCTGCGAAAGCGTACTTTTAGGTGCGAGGTGCATTCAGATAGCCGAGGCGAAGCGAAGCGCACACGAGGCTATTTGAATACCTCCGAGCAGCTAAAAGGGCTTTTGCAGTGTGTAATGTATTAAACTTTTCATTCTTCCCCTTCAAAAATCGTGAATAGGCATGCGAAAGTGAAACATGCTAGTAGCGAAAGTGAAAGTAACTACTAACATGTTTCACTTTCGCTTTCGCTAGCCTATGCAATGTACTTTCGTAGGGGCGAGAAGGAAAAATAATTTCCGAATCTCTGTATGTTAGCAGGTTTGCTGTACAAAATCAAATGCTGGACGGACTTTCAAAATGCTGTAGAATGTAAAATACAGCGAAATACTGTACGAATTCTATGATATTAAAAGAAGTTTCGTATAGGATTAAGTTTATTCTACGTTTCATTTTGGGAAATTGAATAGTGTCAATTTTCAGGTTCGGTAACCTATATTTTGCGAGGCCCCTCATGGCGCGAGGCCGTCGGCGGTCGCCGACGCCTAGCTACGCCACTGAATATATCCAAAACAGTTGAACTTAGGTATAGGGTATATTATATGAAATTTGCTCAGATCTTTCCGTAGAATCCAAATATGCAATCATATACAGGGTGTTCCATTTAAAATAACAAAGTTCTGTCGCATACCCTATAAACGGAGTACCCTGTATATTCAAAAATATTTTTAACTAATGCATATTAGAGTATCAAACAACTTTGTAATTTAATTTTTTTTTCTTGCATAACCCTGTAAGGAGATATCGTCCGATATTGCACTAAGTGGACACCCTGTATACACAATATTAAAGAGAATATATTTGTCTAGTTTTTTTGCTCCTAACTTAGCTCTCGACCAATGAAAAAAGTCGTCCATTTCGATTTTCTATCAAGAAAAATATGCTGAATCATGTGGAATTTATAAATAATTAATAAATTTTAATATAAATTATACCTCAATACCGCGGGTTTTGGAACGCAAACGCTCCTCCGCCGACGGCCTATACGTATGAACGTGACCTAAATAGTGATATTAAATTTGTGATCGTGATCAAACCAAAAATGCAAGAGCAATTGCTATAGGCTGTATTTTCAGCAGTTTTTTTGTTTGTTTAAGTGGTACTTATGTGCCCGTGATGTTATCTTCCAAAAATGTATTACATATTATATTCCTAAAATACAATAAATTTAATTTTTCATTGTAGTATTTATTTTATTTAAGTTATATCAGGACTGTAAATTATTTACCTACAATTAAAAAAAACATTATCCTAGTTCAGCAGAATTATTTTTTAAAATAGTAGTGTTTCTTTCATACAATAAGAAAATACATTTCAAGCATAGGAATGTTCTTTTTGGTTTCCATAAAGTTCGCTTTGCTGTTACAGTAGTCAAAATATATTAGTTCAAAATGGTCGTTTTTTAGAAATGATAGAATATCACTTTATAAAAATACTTTTTTACAATAGTTAAGAGTATTATTGAGTAAAGTCAACACAACTGTTGCAACAAGATTCTGACTTGACGCCTATTCAAATAGATTTTTTAGCTAATTTTTTTCTCAGTGTAGATAGATAATCGGAAAAAAAAATCCAAAAATACCAATTTCCCGACAGTCAGTTTCCAATTAAATAAAAGATCAAATCAATCACAAGTTTCTATTTTTTCAACTTACTTGGTACAGCCTTTTGCAACTGGGCCATTAACAAAAATATATTTAAAAATTTAATACCTAACTTTAAATTGGTGCGTCAAGCAAATACCACAAAGAGCGACATTCCATCGCTACCCTTCTTACGAACCGTTTCTTATCATCCACACATATTGCCAGTTCTTGTATCACTTTGTTTTTCAACGGAAGTAGTTTGTAGAGTTTACATTTTGTCGTCACTAATCGAAGGCAGGTTAATGCTTTTATTCTCACTTCCTAAAAATAAGTGTGTTTGAAAGTTGAAAGATTCATAATCTTTTAGTACCATTGAAGGTTCAAACTTGGTCAAATCCAGAATCCTCAATAAAATAGTTTCCAAATGGTCTTCAACAAACGACTCGTGGCATGCAATTAACAACAATATTTTTTCTAGTAATCTTTCAAGCAATGATGAATTTGTGCATTTTTCCAGGCACAGAAAAAACAATCTTAAACCCTAAAAAAAAAAAAAAAATTCTGATAAAACGGAAATAGAATAGACACTATTCTTACCTTATTAGACTTTAGAACAGTAGCTTGCTTAGAAGAAATGGGAGCATGTTCAAATAAGTAAGCCACTGCATTCAAAAAGGCCTCATTGTGAGTATCAGAAACTTGATTTAATTCAGTTGTGCAGTATTCGAAGAATTTTTGTTGATATAAAGGCCTAAAATATTAAATTTTTACTCCTACTTTTTGCAAATCAGATAAAAACTTACATAATCTTGCAATAGTACTTTGGCGATATGACTGAGCATTCTTTCATGACTAATCCTAATCCCATTGCTGCCTCCACATTGTTATTTTTTATACTGTTTAATATCTGAAGAGATACAATTAAGAATATTGTTTTATAAAATGCTAAATATTACCATATCTGTCCATTCCAAAGCTTTTGGATGGTTCCTAGTCATCAAACCTTTTGTAACCCAAGATGCTAACCATATTTTTGCATCATGTTCATTTACACTTCCACAGAAATTTTTAATTTTGTTTAATTTATCTTGTAATATCGAATCTGCAAATTGAGAATACATGATAGAATTGATAGAGGTAGTGGAACTGGAAAGCCAAATAGAAAAATTTGAAGAAAAGTATGATATTGAACTATGTGAGTTGTTTTAAACATGTTATTTATTCACAGAAACTTAATTTTTAAAAGTTCTATTATCAATAATAAGGTAATTACCATCATCAATTTTATTCAAGATATTGCCAATTACTTCCATAGAAATCTCCCTAACAAACTCCTCTGCGGAATTTAAACTGCAATCCATAAGAAAATCAATTTTGTCATAGTCTTCGAATGTTTCCCGTTGCAAAGGAATAATCAAACCACTTAGAACTGTCGCGTAAATATTTTTATTACAAAATTTCTTATTTGATTCTGCTAAATATATTGCTTTTTGCTTTTTTTCGTTTTTTAAACTATTTACGAGAAACTCATTGATAGCTTTCAAAAAATCTTTTTGTAATAGTTCATCATTATTTATTTGTGCCAAAAAATGTACTAATGTTTCTATGAAATTCTTTTGCATTAGTCCTTGGTTAATGTGATCAAGTCTGCCTGTTGAGTTATCACTTAAATGCCTTAAAGCAATGGCACAACTGCCAACATTTGCTGTAGAATAATGTATGTAAGTTTCTATTATATATTCTTCAAATTGAGCAAATTCTATCAAAGCATCTAGACTATCCAAGTAATTATCAACACATACATTATCAAAAGGCTTTCCTATACTTAGAATGAGTTCTTCTACTTCTTGAGGACAAATTTTTGCCATCTTTCTCAATGATTCTTTCAAGACTGGTTTGACTTGTCCCATATTTACAGTTAAGGCTTGTCGTAACATATCCGAATATATGTTGCTCAAATTTTTTGGTAAATATTGTAATATTTCAGTTAATCCTTGATATCCTTCTATAATAATATGGTCATCTTGGTCACTTGTTGCTTGTAAACATAGAGAAGGAACTTCAGCAATTTCTTCAAAGCTGCTGAAATCAACTTTTGGGTTTGTTTCTATAACTGCTTTAACAAATTCTATAATAGTGTGCAAAATAACACTTTTATGCTTGGGATTGTTGGTAATTTTGAAAGTATTTTCCAAAAGTGGTAGAACCTTTTTAGCTACGAGCCTTGCAGATACTTCACTAGCTCTTGCAACATAAATTAAAATATCCGAACTTTGTGAAAATAATTTTGAATCAGGTAAAACATTGCCTTTTAGTGTATCTGTTATATCCAAAACAGAATTTTCAAAATTTTTCTGATCACCCAATGACAGCTTGTGTATAATTTCTTTCAATGTTTCCAAACATTTATGTTTAAAATCATCATCAGACGTATTAAAGATCTCCTTTTGAATTTGGGACCATATTTCTATTGAGAATTGGTTATATGTTTCAGTTTGGTAAGTTTTACAGCCAATTTTCTAAAAACAATGAAATTGTATTGTGAAATATAACATTCAAGTTTATAATCATTTCTCGAGACTCTTTGGAAACAGGATTTTAGACAATTTAAGCCAATTGTCAGGAGGATCTGTTTTTATGATACTTTAAAATAGGCTGAATGTCGAATGACAATAGCTATTTATACATATAACAAGTACATAGAGTAAGGCTTTATTGTATCGGGTCTTCAAAAAAAAAACAATCAAAAATTGCTGTGGTTTTTTAAACGAATGTCTTAGGGCCGAATTTATAGTCGCTCCTTGAGGTTTCCTCAGACCTTAAGGAGGCCTTGAACGTTTAGAATTGACATGAGAAACTTGTCAAATAGGAGCAAGTGTCCATTCTAAATTCACGACCTTCAAGGAAGACCCAAGGAACGACTATAAATTTGGCCCTAAGGTACGGTTTGTTAGAATAGTACGCGATGCACAACTGACAACGTAAACGTCGTCATTGGTTCAGGTATGACGTACACCCGTTTTCTGACGCTGACACTGACGTCAGAAAACGGGTGTACGTCATACTTGAACCAATGACGACGCTTACGTTATCAGTTGTGCGTCGCGTACTATCCATAGGTACTATCCTAACAAACCGTACCTTTAGCAATATTATTTTTTTTTTTTTTTTTTTTTTTTTACGGATATGCGCACTCGCAAGGAAATGTCCTATCACGCTCGAGAAGCGGCAAGTGTGCGGAAATGTCGGTGTATGTTGGTCTTGAAACGGTTCAGGTTGTAACCTGCAGGGAAAACCGTCGCAGGGAGTTTATTCCACAGCGATGCTGTTCTCCAGAGATATGAATTCTGATATAATGAGGTTCTTGGTGCCTCTAGTTTGACAGTAAATTCATGGTTACCGTCTGTTTGACGGGTTCGCCTGGTAGGTGCTACTCTCGGTGGAATCATACGTGCCAACTCTTCAGAGCATTTTCCGTTATAGTACCTGTAGAAGAGAGATAAATCGCCCACAGATCTGCGATGTTCGAGACCATCCAAGTTACGAGTAAGTGCGGGGTCATTGATCAGCTTGATAGCTCGTTTTTGCACGGTATTCAAAAGCATTAAGGTATGTTTGGGTGCTGCACTCCATATATGTGAGCAGTACTCCATAGTTGGTCGAATCTGGGCTTTGTAGAGTGTCAGCAATTGGCTTGGTGTGTACAGATGTCTTGTACGAAATAGCACCCCCAGCTTTTGGGAGGCCCTTTTAGCAATATCTGCCACGTGACTGTGCCAAGACATGTTGGTCTCTGCAGTAACCCCCAAGATGTTCAACTGACTCTGTAATGTGACAGCACTTCCAGATAGCATGATGTTTGGCTCACCGGTGCTGGTCTTTTTTGAAAACAGAGCTGCTTGGGTTTTCTGCGCGTTGAACTGTACAAGGTTTTTGTTACCCCAGTCCTCTATTATCTCCAGGTCGTTATTTATCTGCGATATTTGAGTTAGTCTAAGATGATGGAATTCACGTGCGGAAAGACCTGTGGGTGGTATGAGTGAGGAGACTACATTGCCATCGTCTGCAAAGCAATAAAGTGGATTTACTGTTTTATCTATGAGGTCATTTATGTAAATCAGGAAAAGAGTTGGCGAAAGGATTGCTCCCTGTGGCACACCAGCATTTATTTGGTAAGAGTTGGAGTTCTGGCCATCCAGTGCAACATAAATGGATCTGTCCATTAGGTAACTTTCAAACCAAGTGCAAAGTTTCGGCGATAATCCCATTGCTTTGAGCTTGTTGAGCAGATTTTCATGCCAAACTTTGTCGAATGCTTTAGATATATCTAAGGCAATTGTTCTTGTTTCACCCCGCAACTCAATCGCTTTTTGCCATAAGTGAGTGACGTATGTAAGTAAATCGCCAGTTGACCTATATTTTCGAAATCCGTATTGCTTATCGTTGATAATTTTGTACTTTTCCAAGTACTTGGTTAGGTGATTGTTCACAACTCTTTCCATTACTTTTGATATCACCGGAAGTAGAGCAATTGGTCTATAGTTTAACGGATCTGTCTTTTTTCCTTTCTTTGGAATGGGTTGTACTGCGGCAGACTTCCATGATGATGGATATACTCCTTGCCTGTAAGACAAATTGAATAATTTTGCGAAAGTTGGGGTGAGTTCGTTGGCGCAATTTTTGAGTACTATTGCGGGAATGCCATCCGGACCCATTGCTTTGTTTGTATCCAGCTTTTTTAGGGATTGTCGTATTTCTCTGTGACAAAAGGGTACCTCTGGCATACTATGGAAAACCCTTTCAATGAACGGTGGAGTTTTTCTGTTTGGCACTGTTAGGTTGGAGTTGGAGGAAAACATTTGGGCAAGCATATTGGCTTTTTCCTCTGATGTTGTGGCTAAGTGATTATTTTTATCTGTAAGTGGTGGTATGGATGACTTGGTGAAGTTAGATCCAACAGCTTTTGCAAGAGACCAAAAAGACCTAGAACTACTTGGACAATTCAGCAACCTGTTTTTTATTCTTTGATTGTATGTTTCTTTAGCGGAGTCAATAGTAATTTTGCAACTATTTCTGGCTTCTATAAATTCTGTGTGGTTTTGAGCGGTTTGTTGTCGTTTCCAAAGGTTATATGCTCTGTGTTTTTTCTGTACAGCCGTTTGACACTGGCTGTTGAACCAAGGTTTTGCATTAGCTCTACGTTTAGTTGTATGTGGGATATATGCGTCCATTCCAGATAAGATTACTTGTGTTATTTCATTACAGCAAATAGTGGGATCAGCTGTTTTAAAGCAAACCTCTTGCCATGGAAAATCCAGGTAATACTGTTTTAGGTCATTCCATTTTGCCGATTTATAGTGCCACATTTTACGAGGAAGTGGTTGTAGGCTTGGTGGGATGAGCATTTCGCACTTTGTTATTATAAGTTTATGATCGGACGAACCAAGTGGAGCATCTACTTGAATTGTGTACGAGTCAGGATTGGTGGTTAGGAACAAGTCTAAAAGCGCTGCAAATTCGCCCCTTTCTGAGATACGGGTAGGTTCATCGACAAGCTGCGTTAGACCACAACTTATGGCAAAAGCTTCTGCTTCTCTGCCTTCGTTATCTGTTTTGTTGTGGTGTTTCAGCCAGGGTATATTGTGGACGTTGAAATCGCCTAAAAAGACAATTTCCGCCTGTGGATAGTTTGACTGTATACTATCACAGCTTTCGGATAATGTCGCGAAAAAGTTTTGGTAATCGGTGTTACTTGGCGGTCGGTAGAGGCAGCAGATAAACTTGGTCGATGACTTTGAGGTGAATTTTAGCCATATGATATCAAGGTTCGCTGGTTCTAGCTTCTCCTCTCGATGACACGAAAGGTCATTTTTAATGTACACACAGATCCCAAAATTATGTCGAAATCGGTGGTGTAGGTCATAGCCATTCTTTAATTTTGTCAATGAGCTTTAATGTCAAAATGACATGTCAAAAATCCTGACGAATAAAAAAACAATAATGCGACGTACGTTTTCGTAACCAAAGCAATCTTTGATTGTTTTTTTTTTTTGGAAGACCCGATATAAATAATTGACCAATGAGTCAATAAAGCTTGTTTATTATGTAAGCGTTATATACATCATTTTATGTACGATTCCGACTGATTTTTATTGAAAATTAAAAAAATTGAATGAAAAAATTAAAATTCGAGTATAACTGTTTCACCTTGGCAGGTAATCCAGGTAGGCAATAAAGTAGCACTTTATTTGACAGTTAAATAAAGTGCTACTTTATTGACACAGAACTGTTCTATAAATAGGACTTAATTGGTCAATCGGACATTAAAAAAATTATTCTAATAAAACTATTTTAACGACGAGCAAAATTTGATCGTGGCGCCATCTCCGGCCAGGGTTTTCCAATTCCTTAATTCTTAATTTTGGTTCCTAATTCTTAATCCTTGAAAACACCAATGTTAAATAAATTGAACTTTTTAAGAATTAAGGACGAATATTAAGAATTAAGGAGTTGGGTAACTCTGGCCTAAGACTAGGATTCAGCACTAAACAGCACTTTTGCTGTAAAATTGTCTTTGTGTAAAAGTACTGATTGTCTAATAGGCCGACCAAAAATCAGTTACTTAGTTGGGGGGAAAACCCAAAATAGGGAAAATAAGTTTTCTCCTTGTGGATCGAAAAGCAAAGAAAATTAATCCAAAATTTTTACATCAGTGGATAATATGAGAAAACTTGTTTTTCCTCAAACGTCAAAAAATTACGACTTTTTTAACCTCAACTCTTAATGTTGAAGTTTGACTTCACAGACATCCTTTTTTTGGTTACTTTTTTCCGCGCGTTCCGTGAGCGTACAAAATAGTATATTAAAGTATAAGTGGATACTAACAGAGATGATATTGTCTCAGGTCTAAACCTTGATCAGTTCAAAAACTGTATTGGTGCCGCAGTCAATGAAGCAGTATCTAAAGTATTCAAAACTTTTGAATTAACCATAAATAACAAACTAAATATGGTGTCTCAAAAAATCGATGATTCCATGAAAGAACTGGTTGAAAGTTTGATGAATCAACAGTCCAATGGGATAAAGCAGGGTATTGATTCTGCATCGGAATGTGTTTCAACAGATTCTATTGCAACAGTCCAATGTGGAAAGCCCCCCATGCCAAATGGCTTAGACATTCAATTTGCAATCAATCACAATCAGGACACAAATCGTGTAACAGCTAGTCAAGTGTCGAGAGCTATAAATCAGGTAATGATTGAGGTTAATGATAAAAAGAATAGCGAAGACTGTTTTTCACGTGATTTTCCTCATACTCTGGGTCAGAGAGAGGTTGAAAGCAGACATAGCACACAGTCAATGGTAAATAATCAAAATACTTTGTATGGCAACCCACCTAGTAGAAATAACACTAACATATTGATAAACTCTCAGCCCTGGCTTAAGCAATTACCAGCTAATACTAATAGTTCACAGTTTGGGGTTCTTCCAGGACATAATAATATGTTAAATATGAGTACAATGACTGGTGCTATGAATCAATCCATACTTGCAACTCAGCAGAGGTCAGGGACCCTGGTTGGCACTGGTCAGTCAATTGAGGCATTGAAAATTGTTCCGTTCTCCAATAGATCCTGGCTGTACGTGGGTCGTTTCTCGGAAGAAGTTAGTGAAGATGTGGTGCATGAATTTGTGCAAAATAAACTTAAAGTGGATGATAGCAATCTTTCTGTTCAGAAGCTGGTGGTCAGAAACAGGATGAAATCTTTTAAGCTTGGTATTGCTAAAAACTACTTTGATACTATCAATGATTGTAACTTTTGGCCTCGTGGAGTGGTTTTTAAGGAATTTCAATTTAGACCACGGCTGTTTAGAAATGAGGGAGTGAAGCTGGATTCACAATTGAATGACAGGCAAGATAGAACACCTCGAAATGATCGACCATCAAATTTTGTTCAGGAGACACATATTCTGGCAACAGGGTAGCTCTAACAGGCTACTATCAAAATGTGCGGGGGTTGAGAACAAAACTAACCACCCTTATGTGCAATATTTCCACGGAAAACTATGATTTTGTGTTATTTACTGAGACTTTCCTGAATAAAGACATTTTGTCGAGCGAATTGGGAATGAGTAATTACTTAATATTTCGCTGTGATCGTTCTGATAGAACCAGTGTCCATAAGTCACAAGGGGGTGTCATGGTTGCAGTGAGGAAGTCTCTTAATTGTAGACAGATATCTACTCAATTTGAATCAGTGGAGCACATTTTTGTACTGGTTTCTTTGAAAGAGCATCATATTTTGTTGGGCAATGCTTATCTGCCCCCAGATTCTCCTATAGACTCCTATGAAAGTTACTGCTCATCCGTAACAGCTGCGTTGGAAATATGTAGTAGTTGTCAAAACTTGGAAATCTATTTATGTGGAGATTTTAATAGACCGGATGTGTCCTGGATCAATGATTTGCATGGGACTAGGGCTATTGGTAAACAATCTGAACAAACCACAGAGTTGGCTGACTGCATGGCTTTCCATAGCTTATATCAAGTGAATAATATTTCTAATATTTATGGGAACTTTCTGGATTTGATATTTTGTAGTAATAAGGATGTATGTACCTCAATATCAGCCGATCCACTTTTGAATTTGGACACACCTCATCCTGCTTTGGTTTTTGATGTATTAATTTCAGATAATAATTCTGATAAGTTGGAGTATGATTATTGTTTTCTGGATTATAAGAATTGTAATTTTAGGGATTTAAATGTTTATCTGTCTTGTGTGTATTGGGACTCTTTTGTTGATATGGATGATATAAACTCTGCTGTCGATACTTTTTATAATCAAATTTATCATGCTATTGAGATCTTTACACCCATTTCAAAAAGAAAAACAGCAAAATTTCCAGGATGGATGGATAGTCATTTGAAATGTTTGATTTTGTCTAAAAAAAAGGCACATCAAAACTATAAAAATACTATGTCCGCTCAGGATTATGGAGTTTTTTCAGAAATTAGGAAAGAATGTAAAATTTATTCTCATATCAGCCATAGGAATTTCATTGAGAAAATCGAGTCCGAGACACAGGACAGAAATGGATTTTGGAGATATGTACGATCGAAAAATGAAAATCGTGGATATCCCAGTTCTATGTTTCTTGATGAGCATGAAGGTAGCACACCTCATGAAATTGTCAATCTCTTTAAGGATAGTTTTTCCTCGGTTTATACTGAGGTGAGTGTTGAGAGTGATCGAAACATTCCTGTCTCTAATTTATCTAGTTTGTCTAATTGCAGTATCAGTTCGGTTCTAATTACCCCTCTTGATATATTTAACAAGATACATTCATTGAAGAATGGATTGGGTTGTGGTCCTGATGACATCCCAGTATTATTTGTTAAGAATTGTAGTTGTATTCTTTCAGAAATATTATGTAAAATATTCAATAAGGCTTTAGAGTTGGGACGGTTTCCTGATATGTGGAAATTAAGCTATATAACTCCTGTGTTCAAAAGTGGAGAAAGAAATAATATTAAAAACTATAGGGCCATATCCAGAATGTCTATTTTTTCTAAGGTATTTGAGTCTATAATAACGGATTTTCTTACACCAATTTTGAAACATGTTATTGTACCGAAACAGCATGGCTTTATTAAGGGTAGATCTACATTGACTAATCTTCTGGTCTATGAAGAGGCTCTGTTGGAGGGCTTGGAGAATAAGTGTCAGATTGACTCGGTCTACACTGACTTCTCCAAGGCCTTTGACAGGGTTGACCATAAGATACTATTGGAGAAGGTGGCCGATGTGGGGCTGCATGGAGGTCTATTGAGCTTGATTGGAAGTCTTCTCACAGGTAGAAAACAGGCTGTAAAAATTGAGAATTACATCTCTTCAGTATTTTCGGTGACCTCGGGGGTGCCTCAGGGAGGACACCTGTCTCCTTTGCTGTTTAGTATATTTATTAATGATCTGTCAGGTGTCTTCAGAAATTCCGATTTTTTGCTCTTGGCGGATGACTTGAAGTGTTTTATGGTTGTTCGGGATGTCAGGGATGCTCAATTATTGCAAGTGGACTTGGATATGTTTCGGACTTGGTGTCAAAGAAACAAACTCCCCTTAAATGTTGAGAAGTGTAAGGTTATTACTTTTTCTCGGAAAAAAACACCATACTTACATAATTACGTTCTTAATAATTTGGAGATTAACAGGGTTGAAACTATTAGAGACTTGGGAGTCTATTTCAACACTAATGTAAGCTTCACAGAGCACATTGAAATAACTGCTAATAAAGCAATGAAATTACTAGGCTTTATGTTCAGGTCACTAAAAGAATTTACTAATATCTACACCCTAAGAAACATTTATTGTGCAATTGTTAGATCAGTTGTAGAATATGCTTGCCCTGTCTGGTCCCCTTATTATGCTGTGCACATCTCCCACTTGGAACGAATCCAAAAAAAGTTTTTAAGATCCATTGCATATCGATTGGGCATCCCAAGTGAATCTATAAATTATAATGAGTTAATGTCTGTCCTAAATCTTGAAAATCTGAACCAGAGGCGACAGTTTTTTGATATGTGTACTTTGTTTAAGATTGTTAATAATTCTATTGATTCTCCGGACTTACTTGCTAGAATTGGCTTACATGTACCATCTAGCAATTTAAGAGGAAACACATTGTTTAACCTTGATTTTCGTAGAACCAATTATGGTTACCATTCACCTTTACTTAGAAGCTGTCGTTCTCTGAATGATATTATTTTGAAGACTGATTTGGATGTTTTTAACATAAGTTTGGATAGATTCAAAAGAATTTTAAAGTCGATCCTAAAATGATCGTTTTTTCTATTTGTATTCAATTTTAAGCGTATTATGTTGTTTATGTTTTGATACCTACTACAAAATATTTGTTTAGGCTTATGTAATATTGTTTTTTTATACTAACTTGTCTGTTGCCTACTTGTTATTCCAAATATTTATTATTGCGTGTACCTACACTTTAAGTCTACCTTTGTAAAAATGGCATGTCCGTAAATAAAGAATTTATTTATTTATTTTTATTTATATTAAGGTCTTTAAAACACGCGCGATTTTTAAAGACCAGTTATCCACGCGTACTTTACACTATTTTTTTTTATTGGTACCTATACTTTCAAATCAAAAATTACTAATAATTGTAGAATGCTAAATTCGTTGACACTTGTTATATTTTATTTGACGTTGTCTACAAGTACCTACTCCTGACAAATCAATAATCAAAAAGCTGACATTTAGACTTTACCTACCTTTCTTGGGTTGTTGATGTTGTCATGATAACTTTAAAACACGCGCGTTTTTGAATGTTGGATTTAAACACGCTGAGGACTACTTTAAATAAGTAAAATAGGTTATCAATGAAAAAAAAGTACTTTTTTGTACGCTCACGGCCGGACAAAAAAGTGACGTCACATAAATTTCCTAGATTTCATCGCTTTGAACACCGTTTGCGGAAAAATCGCATGTTTTATTCGGAGAAAAGCACTTTTTGTGGCTCGTCTAAAATTGTCGGCCTCAAACATTGCCACAAAAAGTATCACTTTTACTCCTAATAAAACAATTTACTACGTATTTCCTTATTTTGGGTTTTCCCAACTAACTGATTTTTGGTTGGCCTATTAGATTGTCATTACTTTCACAGCAAAAGTACTGAATCCTAGTCTTAGATGGTGCGATTATCGGATTTCGCTCGTCGATTTACTTATACTTTGCCTGCAAGCAGTAAACTTGGATTGGTTTTCTTTTCTTTTCTTTGCTTTTGTAGCCACATTGATGAGATCTGAAAGATCGAAACGCGTCTGTGGATGAAAAAGCAAAGATAATTAATCTAAAATTTTCAAAACTATTTTTAATGGGAATATTGAAGGAAGTCGTCGAAAAATGACTACAAATTTGAGGCTAAAAATAGTCAAAGTCTTACCAATACATCTAAAGAATCTTCTTTCGCAATTTTCAAAGATGAATCCAACTTTTCCAGAGTTACAGGAATAGCATATTGACCAAATTCTGCGATGGAAGTGAGGCATTTGCACAATCCTTCAGCCAAGTCTTCTCTGGTAATGTTCTAACAAATTAATAAAACCTAGTAATTCAGTTAATTTACCACCTAATTGAACTTACGTTTTTATCACTAATTGAAGGTTTAAAATCAACAGGAAAGTAACAAGAAAGGACCTCGAACATTTCTTCTGTAAGATGACCCAATTTCACAATTTTCAAAAAAGTTTGCATCCAATCAAATAAATAAATCAAATTTTTAGGATTCCTTTCTCCATCTATGGATGAAATTACTCCATAAACAAAGTCAATTCCCATCAAATTAACTTCTAAAAAGTAAATCTGAATTGCTATATAAGCAGAAAGAATCTTCCTCGCTTACCATTGATGTGGTCTTTCAAAACAGTTTCAAATATCTGAAATATTACATATCTATCTTGTGGTTGTTGTTGCTGGCATGTTACTTGATTGAAAATGCAGGTGATAAGGTTTACAACCGATTCACTAGGAATGTTTGAAAACTTAATTAGAGCTAATACGCCTTTCAAAGCAGATCTGGCTACCTGGAAATAAATTCAATAAAACTGTATTTATAATGAGTTGGGTTTATTTTCAAACCTGGTGATGATCATTTAGTTTCTCACAGAAATAATTTGATAGTACTAAAAGTTGTTGACTATCAAGGGTTGCACTTGGAAGATCATTTAAAGTTTCGCTTAGTATTAGAACACCAATATCTCTTTTTTCGTGGGATTTATTTAAAAGGAGATAAGCTAATTTTTCAATTACTTCCAAAATTGTGAAATTTTTTGAAGAAATATCTAAAAGCATATTTTAAAAAAAAATCTAGATAACACAATGAAACATTACTTACCTTTTGCAATAGCTTTGGAGATTTCAATATAGTTTTGGTCATCACTTGATACATTTTCCAAGAACTTTTCGTCCAAATACATTAAATTATTGTCTATTTCCATCATTATTATTATTATTTATTATTATTACTGTGAGTTAAAGAGAACAAAGGTAAAACCGAAGAAATTTTTAATAATCTTACAAAAATTTACATTTACACAACAGAAATTCATACATAACCACATTTTTCACAACACTACTAGAGATACGCCCTCGATGAAGGATGAAGATGCATATCGATACGAATTTGTTATATCGATATGAATCGATAACTATCTTGCATTGAGGATAATGCTTACGAGCAGGAAAGCGCTGTCCTACGGACATAAGGAGTAGGAACGCGCCATTCTGCTTATGAAACTTGGGTTTCCATACGTCCGGATTTACCCGGACATGTTTGGGTTTTTAGGGTGTCCGGGGAAGTCCGGCCGAAATTCGGAACCACGTCCGGAAAACTCGGAGATCGTGAAAACACTCATACTCAGTTTACACACATTAGGGTGGGTATTATAAAACTACTTTCGGCCATTTGCACCGCTATAAGTTAAGGGATATTCAATCCAAGTAGAGCTTTGAATGTGACTCTCATAGAAACAAAAGTCACATTCAAAAGCTCCACTTAAATCAAATATCCCTTAATACCCCTTAAGTGATAGCGGTGCAAATGGCCATTTGAGAGTTAACTTAAACTTAACGTCTGGAATTACATGTAATTCAAAAAATTAACTTCAAGTTAACTCTCAAAGTAGTTTTATAATACCCGCCCTTATCCAAAAGACGTAAAACATTACTTCACGCATTAGTACCGTAAAGTAAATAAGTCACTTTACATACTAGGCAATTTTTCGCGAGGATAACCAAGCATACTCGAGTATACTGGATTATGTGTGCCTGAATCGCAAGCATTCCATCGTGGTCTGCGGGTGACGATATTATATCACTATAAGCTGCTGGTAGTAACGTCATTCGCAGGCCCAGAATAGGGATGTTCACTATTTTTCAATTGTAATAAAAAGTGGTGGTTTTAGGTCCACAAAACACGTTTTAAGCATTAGAACATCTAGAAACCCTTTATTTTTTCTGATAAATCGAAAACAAAAAAACGAAATTAGCGAGGCTAGCAAAACGACCCCCTGCAACGAGAGTACCACTTGTGACGTCACTGTGCGGAGCGAAAAATCAGCTGGCGCGTTGGCAAGATTTGTTTACAAGTTTACATTGAATTTATTGTGTTGCTGACTGTTGCTCTATCCCAAGAAGCTTCATTCTTCATTCACTTCAATTATCTGTGTTTGTGTAATGATGGGAGACTCAAACAAAGTTGAACCGAGTCGAAAAGAGTGGTATCTACGTGCGTGTTTTTCTACGAGGTGCGAAAATGTGCTACTTTCCGCACGCAAATCGTTGCGTGAAGACGCGTTTTTCACACGCTCATAGAAAAAATGGGCCTGACACGAGCATAAAGTATGTTTTCCGCACTTGCGGCTTGCACGAATTCCGCTGGCTCGTCGTTCCTGCAAATGCCGTTGCGTGTGGGAAAGTATAACTTTCCGCCCTTGTTACCGGTAAATAACTATATATCATTGTTCAAATGCAACTATACCTACATCTAATAACGTCTTTTTTACTGCTACACCAATGGACTGGAGCTGATTCAAGTCATATAGTAGATGACGAAATAAACAAAAAAATAGTAGATAACGTCCACAGTTGGCAGATTTTGTGAATCGGCCTTTTGGAAACCTTCCTTCATTTTAGCCGTAGTACCTTTCTACCTTAATTTCGATAAACCCTATAACACAGAGATCGACATGAAGGAGATAGCACCAATATCAAAATACTTGTTAAACGTTAAACAGACTCTCTCGTTAAATTAAAACCGAACCATAATAATAATAACAATAATATCAATATTCTTTATTGCCAACAAAAATCGCAAAAGCAACGTCACAAGAGGCTGATCCAAGTAGCTAGTAACTCCACTGTACTTGCGCGTGCTAACTCATTGCGCATTGTGACGTCAGACAGCGTTTCGTGCGTTTAAACGAATATTAATATTTCGTCTTTGTTTTTCTCATAGAAAGAATTTTCTGATTTTCGTAAAATTTTGTAGATTTACTTATGAAACGATGCTTAATAATTTGATGATGGTTAAACGGAATTTTTTTATTTTGTGAACATTCCTATTGAATGAATAGGGGAGTATGACACAGTTGACACATCACATAACCCAGCATAATCAGATTATGCTTGATTATCCTAGCAAAAAATTGCCTACTAGCGCGTGAAGCAATGTCAATGACAGATGTCAACAATGTAATAGATACAGGTGGGTTGCGATTTCACGAACTGTGACTTTGTCACTGCTACTTGTCTGTCACAGTCACAGCCTGCTCCAGTCCCAGTCAAGTAGCAGTGACATTTTGTCACTGCCCGCTTCAAGCTCCGACCGATGCAGCGCGGTCAAAACTCGAGCTGTGATGCAAATTTAATAATATAATACAGGGTGTCCCAGCCGAGAGTGACCCATTTTAAATACTTATAACTAACCATCAGGTGTGCTAGCTACCTGCGGTTTGCACCATTCGACTTCTCTTGGCCTAAAGTTTTTTTAGTAGGTTGCAAATTTTTTTGCCTCTTATACAGGGCGAGTAAATAAAAATGAGTTTTTCCACATTGAAATTTTCCACTATTTTTAATGGAACGCCCTGGAACTCGCCCTGGAACGTCAAAAGAAAAGAGTCATGTTTAAGGTATCCATGTACCAATAAACATCGTCCTTCAAACTTGGAGTTTAAGCCGTAAAGAATTGAAATCGAAATCCTGGTATTTTTACAAAAGCATCATGCAACTTCATGTTATAGGTACTTGCTGTCACTAGGTACGGCAAACAATTTTGAAAATATGAAAGTTAGATATCAACTAAGTTTAAATACATTTTTTTAAAGAATTTAACGAGTTCCAGTGAGAATAGTTAGATACCTACCCCAAAACAGTTTGGTATGCAATCTCTGTTGAAAAAAAAAATATGGACCATTTTTCATTAATGAACCAACGATAATAGGAACTGTATACACTGATATGTTGGAAAATTTCTTTTATCCACAATTGAAGACGGGAGGGTCTCTTGAACGATATCTATTTTCAGCAGGATGGTGCCTCACCTCATCATTCTTAAATAGCAAGGGAATCACTAGAAATGACGTTTGGGAGAAGATAGGTGAGGAGAGCTGGTCCTATAGAATGGACACCTTACTCTCCTGACTTGACAGTTTCAGACTTTTTTCTCTGGAATTATGAGGGATCCTGTAATCTTTTGCCAAATAGCCTGGAAAATCTTAAGTGGAACATTCGTAATGTCATTAAAGTGATTCCCTAGGAAATGTTAGACAATTTACTGAACCATTTACTGACACATTAATGCGTGGAACATAATGACTAACATATACAGCATTTTTTATAGTTTTATGCAGTTTTTATTAAATTTTTAGTAGGCAAACATAATTTCCAAACTTTGAAAATATGCTTAAAAAAAATACCAGGATTTCGATTTTAAATTTTTACGGCTAAAACTTCAAGTTTAAAGGACGATGTTTATTGTTACATGGATACCTTAAACATGTCTCTTTTTATTGACGTTGTCATATACAGGGCATTCCATTAAAAATATTAGAGAATTTCGATGTTGAAAACGGATTTTTTTTTACTCGCCCTGTATCAGAGGCAAAAAAAGTTTGCAACCTACTAAAAAAAACCTTTTTTTTTTTTTTTTTTTTTTTTAATGTGTTTTATGGCACTGATAAAACCAACTGGCCAACATCTCTCTTTATTATTTCCAATATTCGGAATGATTGATTATAAAATTATAAGGTTTACCGAGAGTATTTAACGCTTAAACCTATGTCAATTGATATATTGATATCAGTCATATAATAAACCATCATAACTATTGTTATACTACTATCTATTTTTCATTTTTTTTTTTTTTTTTTTTTTAATTAATTTTTTTTTTTTTTTTTTTTTAATTTTCTTTTTTTTTTTTTCAATTTTTTCAGATCAATTTTCATGTTTACTTTTATTTATTGGATATTTTTTTTTTAATTATTTTTTTTTTTTATTATTTTTTTTTTATTATTTCTTGTATAGTTTTTGATTTTTTTTTTTTTTTTCTTTTTTTTTTTTTTCATATTTTTATATTTTCCAACATAATAAATTTATACAATTCCTTATATACCGTTAGGTTTTCCGATAACATTAGAGTACCAATGTCACAAGGAAAATCCACGGATTTTATTAGGCCTTCCATTAAACTTTCCACATTCCTATTGTTTCTAAGAGTACAACCTAATACAAAGCAGAGCTGGGCAGGGCTTGAGTGCTTTGTGCTTGCGAAAGTGCTTCAAGAACTTTGAGGACTTGAAAGCCCTGTGCTTCAAGCCCTTTTATAGATTTGTAATTGGGGCTTGCAAAGTCAATTACTTTAGAAAAGTGCTTGGTAATTTGTAATTGAAAAAAGTAATTCAAGCCCTTTCAATGAGCTTCAATTACTTTTAGAGGGCTTGAAGCACTTTTGGGAGCTTGAAGCCCTTTGAAAGGGCTTGAAGCACTTTAAGAGGGCTTGAAGCACTTTTGGGAGCTTGAAGCACTTTGAAAGGGCTTGAAGCACTTTGAAAGGGCTTGAAGCACTTTAAAAGGGCTTGAAGCACTTTGAAAGGAATTTGAATTGACCATCATTCAACCTATCCCCCACTTGAAAATTTTCGATCGTATTTTGTCGTTTAATTTTTTTTTCTATTATTTGAACTTGAACCGTCTTATGTCTTTTCTCTCTTAATAATGGAGGTTTTGGGTTTGAGCTTAGAATGGAATTAAAAAAAAAAAATGAATGAACTTATTATTCAAATAAATAATTAATTTATATTGGTATCCTATTTAACTTTATCACTGGATTTTTTTCACTTTTCCTCATTGAACATTTTGAAAACCTTAAAATTGAATTACCGTGTAGTACCCCAACTACCCCAAGTACCCCAGAACTACATCTCAAAAAAAACATACTACTGCTACTATGTGAAATGTAAAGTTCGTCTCTACTATACCAATTCTATGTGATGAGTGTACGCGTTAGCTTATGCCACTTTGAGAATTTTATTACAAATTCAAAGTGCTTTAGGCAC